GGGGGGGCAGTGCGCGGGATGCTGGTATGTGTGGTTGGTGGGAGGAGAATTGAGCTTTGCCTTCCCTCACCGCCTCCCCTCCCCTAATTTCCTATCAAATCACAGTCTTGATTAAATTCAGACCAAGTATCAATAACTGTCTGGGGTAGGGAATTCCCAAGGTTAACAATTCTGAGCTAATCTTTTCTTCTTTACGTCAGTCATCAATGCTGATTTCTTATTGTAAGGTGATGATCTTGTGCTATGTCATTTGGGTTGTAATAAGAACATAAGAACTAGGAGCAGGAGTAGGCCATCTGGCCCCTTGAGCCTGCCCCGCCATTTAATAAGATCATGGCTGATCTTTAAGACTCAGCTCCACTTACCCACCCACTCACCATAACTCTTAATTCCTTTACTGTTCAAAAATTTATCTAGCCTTGCCTTAAAAACATTCAGCGAGGTAGCTTCAACTGCTTCACAGGGCAGGGAATTCCACAGATTCACAACCCTTTGGGTGAAGAAGTTCCTTCTGACCTCAGTCCTACATCTGCTTCCCTTTATTTTGAGGCGATGCCCTCTAGTCCTAGTTTCACCTGCTAGCGGAAACAACCTCCCTGCCTCCACTTTATCTATTCCCTTCATAATCTTAGCATTGTCTCCCATTTGACTAATGCTGTGTGTTTCTGTCATATTATTGTGTCTCCAAATACATTTTTCTTGTGATTACATATGTATGATGGTTTCCACAGCAGAGGCAGAGACTGTAAATGTTATTCAGGTAGCAGTGGATCATCACAGTGATGGAGAGGATTTGTGTATGAATCAGTCGTGGGAGAAGGATAGCAGTACTTGTATTTACCAACTTAAGCCCCATTTCTGCCACCAACATATGTGATGTTTGGAGAGAGGCTTTTGGGCAAATATAAGGAAGATTGCAAGCTTTAAATGTTGAGTTTGCTATTCTCTTTTCCTCTTCTCCTGAAGATGCAAACATGTATGAGACAACACAGTGTGGAGCTGGAGGAACACAGCAGGCCAGGCAGCATCAGAGGAGCAGGAAAGTTGATGTTTCGGATCAGGACCCTTCTTCAGAATTTCTGAATCTCCACACTGTTGTCTATGACTCCAGCATCTGCAGTTCTTGCTATCCTACAGGAGTATGTTTCCTTGTCTTTTAGTTTGGTTCTTTGGCTTGACTTTGTGTCTTGCTGGAGTTTCTCTGAATGTTTTATTTTATAAATATTTGATTTTAAATGTGGCACTCACAGTCTCTTAATTATAAGATATATGCGGTGTTCTGTAGATCCTAATCCTGGAATGTAATGTGTTGATGTGGGAGCAGCTTGAATCTTTTCGGCAGGATTTTGAGTGAGGAAGCATCATCATTCATAGGTTTGAGTCTGTCCAGTTGCAACAGTTGCATAGAGTCTAATTCCTTCCTTTCCTCTTGGAATACAACATGATGACATGAAAGTGGAGCTTTCAGCACCGTGATATTGTCTATCCACTGTGTAAGTCCACAGGAATGGAAAAAGCGTTGTGATTAGTGGTAGCAGGCATAACATGATCATTGGGCACGTGTGAACCTTGCATTTTCTTAGTTTGTTGAAGCAGTTTGTTGAAATGGAGCTAACATGGTCATTTTGACATCCTGCATCTGAATTTTATACAATCAATGGTGTAACTCCTTTCTACAAATGGGACACGTATTCTTATGATCGGCTCTTTATAGTTCTCCACTCCCATTCCAATACCTTTGGCTACGGTGTGATAAGAATCTGAAAAAGTATTGTTTAGATTCCCACTTTACTCATGCATAAAGATGTTCACAACACAATATTTCTTTCACAATGTGAACAAGATATGGAGAAACTCACTTTTGTAATTTTTCAGGAATCAAAAAAATTCTTCAAACGTAGTGAACTTGCCAAGAAGGAAGAAGAGGTGTATTTGGAAAGATGTGGCTACAAGGTACTTATTTTAGTTTGAGGTTACGAGAGGTGAATCAACAGATGATACTATGCTAAAAGTGTTGCAACCAAATGCATTTCACCAGTGAGATTTGACTGTGAGAGTTTAACAACAAACCTTTCCTGTGAAACTTGTATCAATAGGTTGTAACTGAAGAGCCAACACCAAAGGTATGGGTTCAAAAACAAACTTTATCTTTTTGTTTTGGGCTGTTAAGCAACCTATGTAGCTGACTGCATGACAGCAAATAGTATGCAAGTAGTGAGCCTGTGCCTTGGCTTTTAATATTTGGCATTGTTTTATTAGATTTGTTCGGTCAAATAAGATTAATAAAATGTCCTTTCAGTCATCAAATGAAGTAATTTTCATAATTGGCTTGAATAATTGTTGTACTTGTCATTTATTTAACTATGACTAATTTAAGATGAAATACTGTATAGTTTCTCATTGAAAAGTACAATGTTTGTTATTATGTAAAGTTGGCTTAAATCATTCCTTTAAAAGCTGTGTACTGAATGAGGCAGCGCGCTGTCACATTATGACTGTGTGGGAAATCAGGTTAGAAAACAAGCGTGCGTCACAGAAAGGACAGGCATTTATGTCACTCAGTTAAGAGAAAAATAATTGACAAGAGAATCACCTTTTTCCAGTCGTGTGTTTGGTTTATAGAGTAGTATTGGCAGGTTTTAAATTTTATATTTGTAGAATACAATTTTTTTTAAAATGGCAAATAAAGAATACTGTGATGGAATAACTTTATTAGTAAGAATTTAAATTGCATAATTTTAAGATATTTCTGTTGATCCTAAAAAGTAAGAAAACTGTTAGTCACTGGTAAGTTTCTACCTACAGAATTAGAAGGTATCTTTAATAAAGCCATTGTATCGTGTTTTGCATTTTTGTTCTCATGCTAGTCCAGTAAAAGAATAGATTGCTTAGAAATTATGGAAAGTAGCATTGATACTCTTACATGCATGAAAGCAATTGGAAAGCTTGTGCCTGCATCTGGAATGCAGTGATGGTAGAAAGTACAGTTTAAACCAAGTGCTGTGGTTATTGCAGACATAGCTGTTTGCTTGCTTTAATGGTGTTACTGCAAGTCTCATTCCTTTTTGTATTGATGATCAAGGCATGGAATTGAAAGAAAAACAGCATGGAATAAGCATGAAATACAAGGATATTGTAAATATGTATCAGCATTTTTTTGCTATAATTTGTTGCGGAAAATGGTTTGGAAATTTTTCCAGAACATCAGAGACAGGTGCAAAGGGTGACTAGTGTACAGTGCAGAAACATCCCATTTATCAAAAATGGTCTGTGTTCACGTTGAATTTCCACATTAATTTTCTCTCACCCTCCTCCATCTAGCTATCCTAGCACTTCCTTATGATTATACTAGCCATTGGCCAGTTTTTACACATTATCATATTTTATCAAATATGGGTTATGTTTTGATCATCATAATCTGAACATTGTTGAAGGCTGCCTTTCATAATCTGTTTGAATTATGTAACACTTCAATTTTCCTGAGAAAAAGTAAAAATGTTGGCTCATTGAAAATGATGGGACTAAAGGGTAAAACACTTCAAACAGTTGTCATCTTTCATATATTATTATAATTAAGCATGGATAGGGCACACTTTCCTAGTGTTTCAAATGCAAACCTCTATCAAATGCTGTTATTTAAAGAGGTTTAATTAAAGTGTAATAAGAATATAACATTCAAGCTCATTAGTTTGAACTTTCCTATCTGACACATTGTCATTGTTTTCTCCTACAATCTGTATTATATGTTGATATTGAGCTGTTCTTGAAATACACTCTGAGCAAGTGATAGTAACATCCATCCAGACAGGAGACTGGGTTGAATGAAAATCATATGCTTGATAGTTGGCAGTAGTACAATGTAAAATATGATTCTGTGATCAAAAGACTTGCAGTAACCCTGTTGGCCTTTTCTAGAATGTGCTTTAGTTGTAATTCATTGGCTGTCAGATATTTTGGAATGTCCAAAGCATTTGGAATTTGTAGTTTATGTCAGACTTCTTGTGTATCTCCCACTTCCTTCAACCCCATTGGTAACTGTACCTTCAGCTGTGTAAACTCCAGGCTTTGGATTCTCCTCTCTCTTTCTCCTCCTTTAGGACACTCCTAAAATCTAGTTGTTTGACTACACTTTTTGTCATGTTATAAGGCCATAAGATACAGGAGCAGAATTAGGCCATTTGGCCCATTGAGTCTGCTCTGCCATTCAATCATGGTTGATAGGTTTCTCAACCCCATTCTCCTGCCTACACCCTGTAACCCTTGATTCCCTTAGCAATCAAGAACCAATCTATCTCTTGTCTTAAATACACTCCATGACTTGGCCTCCACAGCCCTATACGGCAATGAGTTCCACAGATTCATCGCACTGTGACTGAAGAAATTCCTTCTTATCTCAGTTCCAAAGGGTTGTCCCTTCACTGAGGATGTGCCCTTGGGTCCTAATCTTTCCTGCTAGTGGAAACATCTTCTCCACGTCCACTGTATCCAAGCCCCTCAATATTCTGTAAGTGTAAATCAGATCCCCCGTCATTTTCCTAAACTCCGAGTACAGACCCAGAGTTCTCAGTCCTTCCTCATATGACAAGCCCTTCATCCCCGGGAATATTCTTGCAAACCTCCTCTGGACTCCCTCTAATACCAGTACATCTTTCCTTAGATATGGGGCCCAAAACTGCTGAGCAGAATCCAAATGCAGTCTGACCAGAGCCTTATACAGGCTCAGTATTATGTCTGTCCTCTTGTATTCTAGCCCTCTTGAAATGAATGCCAACATTGCATTTCCCTACCTAACCATCAACTGAGCCTGCATGTTAACCTTAAGAGAATCCAGAACTCGGACTCCCAAATCCTTTTGTACTTCATATTTCTGAAGTCTTTCCCTATTTAGAAAATAGTCTATGTCTCTGTTCTTTTTAGTAAAGTGCGGATTTCCTCAGATTTCCCACATTGTTTAGAGTGTCCATCTTTGATGCAAATTAAGTGAAATTTCCATTTCAGTTCAGAGTCCTAAAAAATTAAAATATGTGGCTGTCTTACAATGTTTAAGTTGCTCAATTACAAATTCTATTTTAAGATAGTCGGAAGAGCAAAATAATATTCACCATGCAATACAAATAATATAAGACGTGACTGTTCCAGAAAAAGGCAAAGTTTACAATTTTTGATTTACCTGCATAAAAATATAGTCTTTGTAGGAATCAAAAATAGCAGATGTTAGGTGGTTTCGGTTTAAACATGTTTGGGAAAGCTGATTTCCCCCACTGTTTCACCAAATGGGAAATGAAGTTACTTATAATTTATGTGATCTGTTAATTGTGTGATGCTGTAACTTAGAGATTAGTTCTTGCACTGAAATGTCATGACAAATACTGTTAATGTACAGGTGCAAACAAAAACAAATGATGAAGATGCTGATTCTTCAAACCCGGTGCTTGAACTCGAGCTTGCAGAAGAGAAGTTACCAATGACCCTTTCCAGGCAAGAGGTAGGATTTAGTCTTGAATCACACTGAATCTTGGAAACTGTCAAAATTCAATATTAATTATGAACAATAGATTTTCAAAATCTTGATAGTTAATCAAAATCCACAGTGTTTCACTTCAAATATCCTGTCAGAATTGGAGGCAGAATCTATGGCAATTAATTTGATACTTTTGATTTCCATGGTAATAACTGTGTATTTTTCCTTGCTATATTGTCAAATTAAGCCCTTGACAGAACAACAAAAACATCAATGTATAAAAGAAAAATTCTGGTTATGAATGTTGTTTCAGAGATAGTAGGAACTGCAGATGCTGGAGAATCTGAGACAACAAGGTGTAGAGCTGGATGAACACAGCAGGCCAAGCAGCATCAGAGGAGCAGGAAGGTTGACGTTTCGGGCCTAGACCCTTCTC